GTGTGTGTGTGCGTGTGTGCGTGCATATGCATAGGTACATACCTACATAGATGCACCTGCACACATGCGACATGTCTACAGCATGTCTTTTCTATGCCATTTACTGGATTTTTCGTCACGTCCTTCCGTCTTATTCTCGCTGCTATCCTGGCTGGGAGCAGTCTAAACTTGGGAATTTCGGCTAGCCGGGCTGAACGGATGTCAAGAGTGGAACCATGAAAACCGCCCTCCACGTTGTGCGCTTGAGTCTGCTTATTCTGGCCTTCTAGCATGCTTGATATTCTCGTGCTCAGGAACTATTTTCAGCTTCTTAGATCTTCTGAAGGCTCGGGCAGAATGAGGCCCTCAGCCCGAAGATGCCCAGGACCTGCGGCCTGCGAAGAGCCTCAACGTTGCCAGCCTCCGGAACCCTAAACCCTCTCTCCAGCACGAAGCACGTAAAAATCCCAACAAGTTATGCGTTAAAACATCATGTTTTGATTAAATTATACTACATTAAACTAATGTAGTATAATCAAAACATGATGTTTTAACGTAGGTCATATGCAATATTAACCCTGGCCCGTCCAGCTTGAGGTCGACCAGGGGCCCATCGAGCCAGAGAGCGAAAGGACTTTTCGCCAGTGACGGCAGCCTGCAGAGGCAAAGGGCCACCGAAGCCTGAAATCAAAGAGAGGTCCAGTGAAGGAATGCTTGGGCAAGTTCTGACGACTCGAAAAAAGTGCCATGTGGCTTCAGGGGTGCGGCGCTTTTTGCAGGGGTTTGGGTTTCAGCCGTCACAACTAGGCGCGAGCAGCCGAGGATCCGAGCACGATGACGACAGCACCATGAGCAGCTCCGCAACACACTGGCCCGGCGCATGCCAAAGTTCTTTAACCCAGGAACCCCCTGAACCCTGAAAACAAAAAGCCCTCCAAAACCTTCTTTCTCACTCCCATCGAACACATACTCCTTTCTTCAGGTTTTCGGGCTTCAGGTCTTCTACTAGCATCAAAGCGACTCTTGGACACAAAACCTGTGACGCCTAGCTTTTCCAAGTACGGGCACAGCAGCACACCAAGGATTGGAGTGTAAAGCTAACGGATGCTGCGAAGCCTGTAAAACCCCAGAAGACCTAAACCCAAGACCTTTTTCCAGATCTTGAAACACGATTTCCTTCGGTTCAAGGTTCCATGCTTTGGGCATAGGGTTGCATCTCCACCCTGTCCCAGCTACAAGAAGAAAGTGTGCCAACAAAGGGCAAGCGTTTCATCAGCAAACGAGTGCAAGACACAGTCAGAACAACAGCAACATACAGCAGGAAACCCAACAAGAAATCAAGCGACCAATGAGCTTACATTAGTAGAATCTAGAATAGAAACGACTGGAAGCAATCAAGTAGCAAACTCGAGGAATCGTACGAAGGAATCACCTAGACACTACGGCAGTACGCAGAAGCCTCCCATGGCAGCCTGCGAACCAAGATAAAGGAGACCTAACGCACCACCAGACTGAATCTTTGCGGTGAACTCTTCTTGTCGGAAAATGGCGAAGTCATCAAGTCGCATCGATCTACAAAGGTCTTTTAAATGCCACCTCGACAACAACGAAAACTATGATGGTAAAACAGCAGTCCCCGGTATCCGCGAAATCGAAAGCTATCAAAAAGAAGTCCAAGTCACTCGCAGGAAGCCAATGTCAACCTTTTCGGCCCCACCGGTGCCGGTGCAGCGGAACCGAGGCCTCTGGTGGAAAATACTAGCGCCGAGTGCTGCTCGCCTTGTACCACCACCACCACTGCCACGACCCACCAACAGGGCGTCGTCGCGGTCGCATAGCGCATGCTGCCTACTGTACCTGTTTACATGACTTCACCATGCTTGCTTGGAGAACTGGTCCAAGACCCCACCCTTGCATCTAAGCGGCAGCTTCCCTGTACATGTGAAAGCGATACTCTGTGCAGCTTCCTTGGTGCTCTGGTGATACCAAGAAGACGGACAATGGTTCGACGGTTAGGTTAGGCTCGGATACACAGGTTGAACCTGGTACGATGCAGAGCCTAAGGACATGCCCTCTCGGTGCAGTTCTGCTTCGCACAACCATGCAGCAGCTGCGAGAGTCCAGCCGTTGTCCTTGGAACATGCACAGGTGCAGACAATAGGTATGGTGCACCAGGCTCCCAACTTCGGCATTGACGCTCGCAGAAAACTGAGGCAGGATTGGCCAAGGATCAGCGGGAGGGTGGCTGTGTGCATGTACAGGCCTTCAAGTTCAGGGCAGAGCTCGGCCAGCAATTCGCCGATGTTTCGGTTGGCTTGTCCCGGTTGAAGCCTGAAGCACGGAAGATCCCTCGACATGCAGTACCTCACAATAGGAGCAACGATGCCTGAGCCTCTTTCGTCTGTTTGCCCTTATCAATGAATCCTATTCAAGGCTAGTCGGTTCAAACCACCTGAGGCAAAAAGATGAACCGGGCCATGCTATATCAAAACCCTCGCCGAGCCTGGATGGGATGTTGAGGAATTGGAGCCTGCTTCCACTGGCCTGCGGAACCGATCGACATCATGAACAATCCTAGGAGTAAGGAGGGAGGAAAGGAGGCCGGGAGGAAGGGTGGCGGAACAAGACAGCTGAAAGAGAGTATGAGGAAGACAATGCAAGGGACGAGCCCGTGTGCCTAATGTCCACCATCGCCCGGGACATGCATGATGCAGTCTCAATGAATCATGAGAGCAAAGAGCCAGCAGGGAAGTGTGGGACATCGAGACACTTTGCTGTGGCCATACGCCTGGAGCCCTGCAAGCTGCAAGGGAAGCTGCAGGGTAAGCAATGCACGTCAACACAGCAGGACCCTACACGATTCAAACCAGTTCATGAATTCCAAGGGAGCAGCTATGCTGTCATCATGCTTGCAGCCATCTGACCGTGTTGTCTAATCGCCACAGTATGCTTCACACTTGCATTTGGAATAGCGTCGGGAGCTGTAAAAGCAATTCCTGTTACAGACCTGGGTGAAAGTGTGCGAGGAATGCCTGTTCTCGCACAGATGCATCTGGCGGAAAGCTAAAACCCTGAAGCCTACAGCCATACATCCCTACAGCCCCAAGGTCTACACCCTAAGCTAGAAAGCCCCAAAGCTGACAATCAAAAGAAACCCTGGTCCTGGATGATTCGTGTCAGAGACTCGAAATCGCACGGAGGCTCCTGACAGGCAGCCAAGGCCATGCCACGTCTCAGGGAACCTGAACTGCGAAACCAAACATACATACTGCCATCTACAAAAACTTGAGCATCTGCACTCACATTGGCATACATGTGCATAGACAGACGTATTTATATTTGTGTGTATAGATATGTGTGTGCGTGTGTATGCATACATACATACATACATACATACATACATACATACATATGCACAACTACACAGATGCGGTAGAAACAAACTGGCTGACTCGACTTGGGTGCATCCCGAGCCCCGAGCTCCACAGCGAGTCCGATGCTCTTCAGGGGGCAGCGCTTTGCAGCCTCTGCCAGAACTGGTCCAGGACAGCGGAGGAGCCAGACATCCTGGCTACGACTTCGCGCCAGGGTACCTAGCATGGTCTTACCTATAGCCTGAGTGGCTTGGGTTCAGGATTGTTCAGGGTACCTTCCTTTTGGTTTGCTTCCCGAGTCCTGACAAAGTTTGGTTTGCTTCCCGAGTCCTGCAAAGCACATTTTGATTCTGCAGGAGCAAGATGCATCGTCAGCTCTCGTACGAGCACCACAAAATGCAAGATGCAAGGTGGTGAGGTGGAGGTTTCGATGCCAATCTGCGGGAGGCTCACTTTGGGATTGGATCGGGGTGCCGGTTTTGCTGTGCCATTCCGCGAATAGCGGATCGTAAGGCCCAGAACTCCAAATAAACCAAATTCGCCCAAGTCCCAGCCGAACCCCTACCCTTTGTAAATCGCTCGTATGTCCTACCACACCCCCCACTCCAAAACCCCCGAACCCCTAAACCATAAAGCCTAAACTCGCTTGCTCTCTCTCTGTCTCTCTCCCGGGCATAGGGGTCGGTTAAGACCCCCGGGCCACAGGCCCACCTGCATAGATTATGCACTCGCTCTCTCTCTCTCTCTCTATCTTTCTTGCGCCAGGGCTGTGGTGCAGGGTTTGCCCCTACACCGCGCGCAAATGCGCCCCCCGACTGTTGCGGGTGCCAAAAGAGGAAAATGCAAACGAGGCAAATTGCATTCGCAAAGTTCGACTCTCTCTTTCTTTCCACAGGGTTGTGGCGGGGATTTGCCTCCCCACCGCGCGCGAATGCGCCCCCACCTGTTGTGGGTGCCAAGAGTCTGTCCACATGCACCACCAATGGAGTGCTCGCTCAAAAATGACAATCGCATCACTAGGGGACATAAGCCACAACTAAACAACGATCCTGAAGTGGGGGGCAGAGGCCCCATCACGGCTATACGAACTTGGCCTGAGCAAGCATACTCCCTACGATGGCTGACTTTCAGGTCGACTGGGCTCAGGGGGTCGTCCCCGGGCGATCGTTAGGAGAACAGCGTGGCACAGTGCTCAGCGTAGGAAATCGGTCAACAATCAAAAAGTGGGGGGCCAGTGTGCCCGGGGTCAGTCCCCTAGTCTTGTTTCGGGCCGTTGCACACGAGGGAAACCTAGCAGCACACACTCTAAAGGAAGGATCTGAGCAGGACACCGCTATCTCCAAAGTTCATTCGTCTCCCTCGGCGGGCTGCATGTAGCAGTAGCCCAGTCTCCTAGGGCTTACTCCCCCGGAGAGGGCTCAGGCTCGGCAATGGCAAACAAGGGTAGCACACAGGAACACACTCAAAGACATCAGAAACGGTAAGCGATCACAATGCCAACGGCTTGCCAGTATGCCGCCCTTGCCTCAGTAGAGTTACACAGTGGTTTGCCGATTAGCCACGGCGCACAAGGGCAAAACACGTCAACGCACTCGAGCGACCGCAGCCATAGTGAACACAGTACGGAACATCCTGCGCCTATCGTGGCTTTGGGGTGGTTTGAGGCCTGAGTCCGAGCTTAGAGCTACGCCTACGGCTAGCAAGAACAACATCAAGACACCAACACTTCAGCGCTCTGTCTACTTGGATTTCTCAGGCCCGAAGAAAACGGAAAAGGAAAGCCCCACTGCAGCTCCTCCGGCTCAGCTCGGCTCGCTGTGCGGAGTCAGTCCTCCGAGTGCGATTCGTCGTTGTCCAGGTCCAGCGCGAAGGCGGCATGTAGTCGACGCCGTCGGTGGCTCTCTTGCCGCTGGCGTGGTTGAGGCAGTCGTCACTCAGGTCTGCCGCGCTGGGGTGTCCCCCCTACGAGCACAGTACTGGCATCAGAGGCAGCTCGCCGGGGTGTCCTGGGCAGCTGTAGCGGGCACCTCCACGGCAGCCACTGTGGGCCTCCCCCACATCTCCGACGTCCACGCAAATAGGTGGTGATGTGCTTCGTGGACGATCGCCGCTGTCTGTTGGTCTAAGAAAGGAAGGACTTTCTCCAGGAATCGTTGGGCTTGGAGAACTGGTTCGTGTTGGCCAGGTCTCGTTACAGGGCAAGGTGGCTCCACCCCGGCCACATCGTCACCATGGAAGCTCATGGCCTGTGCACTCTCGCTCGGCCGCTCCTCCATTCGCCGTTTTTTAGGGGAAGGGCTACCCCTGACCACATTTGCTGAGAACTTGGTCTCGAGCCACTCAAGGAGGTGCTGCATAGAGGCGTTCCCCCTCTGCACTGCCTGCAGGGCTGCCTGGATAGCTTCACTCGTTTGGAGGATGGACCCCTCCTCAACTGCAAGTTGGGCCCACGTTAGCGACTGCAGCGCATTACGAAGGCTCGCGACGCCGGTCTCGGTACTTGGGGCTTTGGGGTCTCGCCCCCAACTGGCCATCATAGCTTTTGCGTCCTGGACCAAACCGTCCAACCGAAGGAGTTCTTTGCGAAGAGCTGCTCCGCAGCCGGCGGGGGCCAGGTTTCCCCCCCGGTGGGGAAGGCCATGGCAGCCAGTGCCGACCCCTGTCTTTGTCGTGCCTCTTGCAGAGTTTCTAATTTGCCCACGTAGTAGCACGCTTTGTAAGCCAAAATAGTGACTTGCTCGCTGGTCTGATGGAAGGATGCTTCCAAGAGGCTGTGCAGAGTACCACGCAGAATGTTCAGGACGTTCGCCACCGTGTATTCCGCGATGGCTTCTTGCGCCGGCACCAGGGGTTCCCCCCTTTCCCCAGAAGGTGGGTTTTCTCCAGGTCTTTCGTCGGTCGCGGAGGCTCGTCCCCCCGATGGATGGAGTTGTCTCTGCAGAAGAGAGGTACCATCGTCGATCCGCCCGGGCAACTCCGAGCTGGCGGCGGCGTCTGGCTCAGTGTTGTGGCCATCTGAGCTGGGCCAGCTAGTTTCGGACTCGGAGAGCTCTGCTTGCTGCTGTGGTGGTTGTGGCGGTCTTGTCGACTCTCTCTCTCTCTCTCTCTCTCTCCCAAGCATGGCGACTCCTGGGCCGATGGTCCACCCATGCGCGGGCTTTGTCGGATAACGGTGACCCGTTCCCAATCCTCAAGAAGAGACGCTAAAGCACCAATGGGTGTATGGCAACGTTTGTCTCTCTCTCTGCCAGAACGAGCGGACGCTCGAACCCCCGCACGCCACACGCAACGCACCTGCGAGGGTTTTGGAATTGAAGGGCTTCTCACCGGCACAGCTAGGATCGACTGTTCCACCCGAAGCAATATCTGAGAACTCTCTTTCTCTCTCCCCGTGTCTCTCTCCCAAGCATTCCAAACTTCAAGCCTGATTGAAGGGCGTCACTCGTGGCCCAGCGTGAAAGTGAAATGAGCCTAAACTCCTAACCCCTAAAGCCCTAACCCCAAACCCTACACTTTCCCAAACCCTCTAACCCCCTTTTAAACCCTCCTGTGTCTGATCCGGGCAGGGCATGGCAGGGCAGGCCTCCAGCTGGGGCAGGCCGCCCTCCGCCAGCAACTTCAAGAGATCATCCTTCGAAATTGCGCGGGGTTTGGGCGTTTTTTGAGTTTTTTGCCTCCCGCGTTAGGCTACTGGTAGGACGAGGAGGATTTCAGGCTTATTTAGGAGTTTGGACTCTCGTGACTCGGGTCTTGCGTGTGAATTTACGCCATCTTATACCAACCCCCTCACAGCCCAACAATTGATTCTGGTGCACATTGCATCTGCCATCTTGGCCAAGGGTGCAGGGTATGGACCACCACACTTTCTCCTTCTCATGACTTCGGTCACCCTACGTCGTCTTGTAGGGTTCTGCGCTTCTCCCGAAGTGAGGGAACGACGGGGTCCATGTGCAGGATGGCAGGTCCAGCACACACAAAATCACACGAAGACAACATGGAGTTTTCCACAGGTGCAATGGGCAAAGGCACGACGAGAGCTGCATCGAGTTGGCTCTGAAGCCGTCTGAATGTGGAAGATCCCTTGGCTCAGACGGCAGCTCATCGTTCCGAGATTTGTTTGGACGACAACGTTCGCATGGAGCCATTCCAGTTTGGCAACCGTCAGTTTGAGAGTGCTCACTCCGACTTCTGCGCGGTGCCGGGTTTGAGGAGGCTTCAGGCCTATGAGCGCTCCTGAAGGGTGCTGGTGAGCCGAAGCGACAGAAGCCTGGAAGACTGGATGATGGCCGAAGTGACCTGGCCAAAAGCGGACACGGCAAGAGAAACTCATCATGGCTGAAAGCTTGCCGTGGTCTTCTTGCTGCTCCAGGGCCGGCTGATGATGCAACGGAAGGTCCAAGGCTTTCAGCTTTGGAAATCTGACCAGCGTGCTCACGGCACGAAAGTGCGACGCACGCAGCGTTGGGAGAACCTCAGGCGCTGCCATAACGTCGGCTCAACATGCGACAGCAATCACACCGACACACAACAGGACCGAGAGACACAGGCTGACGCCACAACTCGCAAAAGCATATCGTCTGCACGCGCATCCAGACATTGCTGTTCACACCTTCCGCCGTGCAGACGCGTCCGGCTGACACCCAGCAGCAGGATCCCCACAATGATTCCTAAACAGCCTCTACACCACCCTCCCTCTACTTGATCCAAGGCACCAGTGCTTCCAGAGGCGGAGCTGCCTCCCGCAGTAGATCCATGACCCGTGGAGTCAGTGTCTCCTGGCACGGCTTTGGGGCTCAGGGCTTGGGCCGTGAGCCTATTTGCAGAATGGTGAAGCAAGTCCAGTATCCAGACTGTTTAGAAACGGGGGCACGGTGTAGACGACTAGTTGTTTGCCAACCCACATCATGCAGCAAGGAATCAGTCCAGTCGAGACAGCCTAGGATACCGTAGCGTAGGGGTGGCAGAGCAGCCAAACCGATGGTTCAACAGCGGCCGCGGCCTCATTGTCTGAAAGATCGAGGCACTTCAGTCCGGGGCAAATCTTGAGGAGTCCTTGGCCATCTGCTGCATTCAACCCAATACGAGCCGACTAAACACAAGTGGACAACAACAAACTAGAGGAATCTGCTCCAATACACAAAAACAGTGGCAATGGGAAAGACACACAAGTCACATCAAGTAGCCTCTCGTCCAACACCAACGACCGGAAGGCATGAAGTCCTAAACCCCTACTTACCCCTAAACCCCTAACTCTAAACCCGAAACTTTTAAACCCTCAAACTCTAAGCCCTTTTGCAGCCAGGCCTCATCTGAGGTGTTGCCGGGATATCAGCAAACTCAAACCTAAATCCCTCAACACGAGAAGCCTGCAAAGTCTATCGCGTACTGAGGATCATCCGCACTGAGAGCTGGGAACGTGGTAACACAGTGCGTTCCTACCATACTGTCCGAATCCAGAATTCCACCTGATGTAGGTTTGCGTCAAGAAAAGGTAGGATGCACAACAAATCCAGCCCCAGACATGCTCCGAAGTCATGCGAACGAACCCCACCCCTCTCTCGAAGTCACCATCAAAGGCAATCAAGCTGGGTCCCTCAATCTCATGCAGCCACACCAGCCACCACTCATCAGCAGCCCAGCACTGCAACAGTCTGCTTCCAACTGACATTTATTGATCACCCTTTTCCCTAAACCCTCAAACCTAAGCCACATGGTGAGTTGCCGAGTCTCGGTTGATATGGGACTCTGTGAGCGTCGGCATCGCCCTCAGGCTCACAGTCTCCTGGTTTCGACTCTCACACTCGCACAGGGTTTAGGGTTCAGGGTTTACTTTTCGGTTGAGAGCTAGCTTAGAGTTTTTCCCTCTCGCATGGCAGAGAACTATGCTCACAGGCGAGGTTGACATGGGACAACGGAGACTGCATGCAATTAAAGCAACAGTGTCATTACATTCATCGGCATGAAGTTTTGACGACACACTTCATCTCCCCTGCAGCCAGCAACCAACAAAAACAACCCACTCATGAAAAACCCGAGCTTCCATAAGATCGAAAACCGAGAAATGGCAAGGATCAAGTCAACACTTGACATCGACACAGTTTCTGCCCAGTGAAAGTTGATCGAAAGACTACGACTCCAGCCAAAATGGCGAGAACGAAGTAGTAGGGGTTTTGGGTTCAGGGTCTGAACCCCAGGGTGTCGGTGCTCACACTCGCATCATCCAGGCGAGGCATGTGGGCACGAGTCGGTTGAGTGAGCCTAGGCCTAGGCCTAAACAGGAGCTAGACGGGTGTGGTCAACCAAAGGTTTCGGCGCTCACACTCGGACAATCCAGGTGGGCATGGTTGTCGGCGGAAGTGATAATGTGACGAATGCACTCCGACGTTTCACCATTCGTGGCAAAGTCATGTGGGTCTAGAGCAAAATTGAACGTGAAGATTCCATGGATCACATGTTGCACACGCGGGCCACTCCTGGCCTTGCCATAGTACGAGTACCTTTCTACTCCTTTCAGCTTACCTTATCCCCTCGGAGTGCGATCGGTAGTGACTGCGGACCTCAACTAGGTACTTGACACGTGGAGGATCTCAGTGGGAATGCGGGCACCCTGCTTAGTAGGTTGTTGCCTAGTTGCTGTGTGTGTGTGCATTGGCCATTCCCTCTCAACCTAGGGTTTAAGGGTTTTGGAAGTTAAGGTTTTGGGTTTAAGTTTAGCGTTTTGGATTTTGGGTTTGAGCTTTATGGTCTAGGGCTTGGGTCTCTGATAAAAGAAAAAGCGAGATTGACTGAATGCCAGGCCAGCTGCCAAATATTTCAGTTTCTGGCAGCCTGCACGAGAGGCCCGCTCTTCCTTGGCGGAGCAACAGGGAAACCTCCTCCGGTTTTCCACAGAAGGACCAAGGCGGGCATGGCAACACTGGTTGCAACAAGGACTGACGGGACCAAACCGGCGGGGATTCCGAAACACGATACCGAACAGAACCCCAAAAGTGGCACAGACTGGGAAGACAGAACTCAGTTCGATGAACTGAGATTGGGCGGACACGCATGATCACTTGGGCGGCTTGCAGCAGCTTCGTGGGACTGGTCACAGAAGCCAACCGATGCTTGCGGGCTTACTACCATGCTCTCGCTGCGGCTGGGGAAAGCCAAGCCTCGAGCCATGACACCACACCTTCACAGCTGCCCAAGAACTCTTCTTCGTTGAGGCAGAGGTCGGGGATGAAGCCGCGCTGGAGGACCAGCTCCCTGGAACGGGATATCTCACATGTGAACTCTCCTCAAGAATCACTGTCGCAGGCACACACCGCACCATTTTCCAAACAAGTTCTAACTCTTCAGTTTCATGGAACTCTCGTTCACCCGGTGGAACATGTGCATTTATCCAACATGCCAAACCGGATATTAAGTCCCTGCGACGTGCACGCGCACATGCCAACATGAATATGTCCTCATGGAGCAAACCGAGAAGGCCTGAGCTCGCGACAGCAAAGCTCTGCTGCCAGCAGTGAGCTCGACGGCAGCCATCGCAAGCAAAGCAGCAGCTTGTGAAGAGGAAAGGCCGACTGCCTCGGAATACTCTTGTGCTGTGCCATCTTCAATCTGATGATGCCGACATCTGTCGCTCAACTGCGGATGGATCCCAGCTAGGAAGCTTCCTCTGCGCGCCCGTCTCTGGGAATCCAAAGGGCTGGAGGAACTGGTCAAGGTTATAAGGACGGAAGATCAGTGCCCCACCCCCCGAGCTGCAGCGTCTCTTCTTACTCCACCACAGACCCTAGCCTGGAGTCCAAACTTAGAGAAGCTACCCGTCCACCCTCCCAGCCCGAAAATGTGAAGCCCATTGTGCCAGGTAACAAACCCGGGGCTGCAGCCGCGGTGTCCGGCAGGGGCGGCGGCTCAGCCCAAAGCAAGGTAGGCAGCTGACCCATGGTTTTTTGGGATCCCCGGCTGAAGGCCTTCGGAGCTTTACACTTTGTTTGCCATACCAAACCTCCGACCTCCGAAGGAGCTCTGTGACACCTACATATTTTACGCGCAGCTGTCTGGCCTGCCTCGCACCGAACTCATGCTGCAAGGTTCGAAATGTGGTTCCGGCACAGACTCGAACTGAGGTACGGTGGGGACCGAACACGTGTGGTCCGGTGCACTGGTCTATTTCTACATTCACTCTACACATAAGTATATAACAATATACACACATATGTGGACACAGGTATGTCTGCCGGCCCAAACCTGTTGAGACCTCGGCCCTCAAGCTGCAGCCCACGGGGTAAGAGCCCTTCCAATAATCTGAACGCTTGGTGCCTGGTCTACTTCTGGCGTTGCACGAAACGAAGGTCCTTTTGCAGGCCAGTTTAGCAACAAGGCAAACTCGCATCAGACAAACCACCAGCAGCCTGTGCTACCTTCGCAAACACAACTTCAAGCCCTGGCACGAAACCGGTCCTGTGCTCTCCTCCGCCTGCAAATAAGTTTCCTGTCATCTGTCAATGTTTTTCAAGCACGTCTTGATTACGTCTTGCAAACGAGGTTTCTACAGGGAGCACCTCCGGCAGTCGAGCTGGCACGGCCGCCTTGTCCACATGCAGCCGCTGGATGGCAGCAATCGCGGCCGCATCCTGGCAACGCAAGTATGTATTTATGTATGTATGTCTATATACACACAAATGTAAAGATATGCGCATGCGTGTGATGCACATGTAATGATATGTTTATATAAGCACAAAATGTATAAAAGTATACGTAAAAACAAAACATACAGAAATTCTGGGTCTAGGTGTGTTTTTTTCTCCGCGGAAGCGGCGGGACGCAAGACGCAGGACGCGGTACGTGGGACGCAGGACATGGGACGACACGGGACGCAGGACGTGGGACACGGGACGCAGGACGCAGGACCCGGGACGCGGGAAGCGGGACGCGGGACCGCGCGCCTATTTTTTGTATCTGAACCCGAACCGCAAAAGGAGGGTCTGTTTAAGAGATATGATGTATCGCCGAATGAGGGGGCACTTTGAGGATGTATGATATGATTTGTATATAAAGACACAATCGGTATTTACAGTACTTTCGTGATGTCGCACTTCTTTATATAGTTGCCACCCCTAACTTCTGGACTGCGCGTCTTAAACTTTGAGTCTCCTAGTGGTAGTAGTAGTAGTAGTAGTAGTAGTGGTAGTAGTAGTTAGTAGTAGTAAAAATAGTAGTAGCAATAATAGTAGTAGCAGTAGCAGTAGCAGTAGTAGTAGCAGTAGTAGTAGTAGTAGTAGTAGTAGTAGTAATAGTAGTAGTAGTAGTAGTAGTACTAGTAGTAGTACTAGTAGCAGCA